AAAATGCAACATTTTAAAATTCTCCCTGTACTTTAGGAACTAAAAAGACTAGGACAACTCTTGTAGCATCTTTGGTTTCATAAAAAGTAGCATAGTGATGTGAAAACCGCATCTTTAGAAGTATAAAATGCAATAAACATTATTAAAAAATACAGTAATTATTACTCATCCATACATAAGTCACCTCAGCAAAATTTATCTAGTGTTCATTACCCTTTATATAACATTTAGAATAAATAATAATAATTATTTTAAACAATAACATGGTAGGGTATATTGGTATACCCATAAGATATTAAATATCTTTGGTATACCCTGTATTTTCAGTAAAATTTTCCACCTAATTAATATGATATTTATAGATTTCTGTAAGCGAATATCAAATTATGCATTTTCACATTAAATAGAGATATTAAAATAAGTTATGTAACAATTAAATTTAACTAAATTCAAAAAATTACTGGCGAAAATTGTTCGCGGCGCGTTTGCTTTGGAGTGTGCAGTTTACCGCCAGTCGACGGGAACGACACACGGCGTGTGGAGCGGCAGTTCACGGTTCAGGCGCGTCCTGGCGCGGGATTCCACACTCCGTGTAACTGCTCATATACCAGGCCCGTGGCCCGAAAATCGGCGCGCCGACCCAATCACACGGAGCGTAGAGCATGCGTAGAGCGGCAGTCGACGGTCCAGGCGCGGCGCTCCACGCGCCGTGTAATGGCACCTTATGAATTATGAAACCAGACAAAACGTTCAAGTGTTATTTATAAATAAACATATACATAATGGGCTTATATTGACTTTCATTGTTTAATAACGATAATGTTTAATCGATGACAATATAACAAGGGAGCAAATGTTGCAACTTTATAACATCATTTGCTAATTCACTTTGTACATTTTATTTGTATATCTTTAAACATTAAGTGGTTCTACATGTGTGGTAACGTAAAGACAGACAATACTTCTAAGATTATTTCATATTTTAAAATTATTTCTGAGATAATTTTTATCTGTCTTGTTAAAAATAAACCTTATTAAATTTACAAAACGGGTTTTTACAAAAGTCAAGTTCTTTTGTAATCGAATTTTTTAAAAAAAGTTGTTTTATTTTTTCAAGATATTTGTGGAATTTTTAGGTCCTATTAGACCAAAACAATAATATAGGTACATAAAATCTTGGTAATCTCAATGTAAATCAGAATGTTTAAGAACTGTTTCTATTTTTATTTTACATAAAAAGTAATATATAAAGTAATATATAAAAAAACACAGTAAAAATATACGAAGTACGAAGTAACTAAAACCAATAATTTGAAAGACATTGAACAAAAGAAATAACATTGAAAGATTATTTTTGTTCCATTGGGAAATATTGTGAATATTTGCAATGTTATTTATTTACCCCCTTTTTTACTTTTTTGTAAGAAACTCAAATCCTTTACTGTTTTTATTACTACCCATACCCCTTAGAAGAATAGAATAATCACCTTCCGTAACAAATATACAATAAAATCAAAAATATTTATGATTAAGAGTCCATTTTACTAGTCCGAAAATGTAGCAAAATAAGCGTTCGGCATTTAACGTTTTATCTAAAACTGGCTAGGTATTTTTACACAAATGAAGAAGGAAATTAAAGATAAAGGATTATACTATATCCGTATTGTAGAATATTTTTAAACAACTTCTTTATTCTTAAGATTTTGATGGTCAGACATCAACAAAATATTCCTTATGTTTGGACTAAATTTTCTCGAATAAAAAAGTAAAAAGGTAAATAAAAAATTGCTCGCTAGTTTATGGCAAATGCTGAAGCTCTGCAAACCTTAATCAAAGCACGTGTGTTTGGAATTTTGGGTGTGACTTTACACGACAGGATCGGCCTGTGGACACAAATTACCTATAACAGATGCGAAAGAACACCGAATTACGCGTTCAGGTTTCTGCGACCTTCAGAAAGAGTTCATAGACAATCCGCATCAATGTATAGTTTGGGTTATTATTTATTTGGGTGAAAATAATCTGCACCAATATGTTATCGAGGCATATAATCTCACAGTAATTTAATAGATTGCTCGTCATATTATATCAGTTCGTAGGAGATTAGGAAAAAAAAGGTATTTATAGTATAAAAAATTATTTTTTTTAACAAAATTTAATTAAAGATGTGACAAAATAGTTACTTTTCTATTGGTTCTATCGGACTTTTTTGACTATATAAATCTTTATTTGTAAACTTTAATGCATAAAATACAGTAAAGACTCGATAATCCGGATCAATTAAAGCACATGTTAACCCGGATTAATAAAAAATCCGGATTATCGCGATTTGCATTTTTTATAGACATATATTTAAAAAAACGAATAAAATAAAACATTTTTATTAGCAGAACCTTCAACAAATATAATTTAAGTAAGAATAAGTATATTCTATAACAAAACTCGTTGTGAATTCGTGTTACATCGTTGTGAATTCGTGTTACTCGTGTTACATCCTATAGATACCAAAGTATAAAATACATACTACATTATTTAAAATAATCAGAGATTTTACTTTGTTTTTTAAGTGCATTAACTGAAGAATGCTTAACTATAGCTTCCTCTTGTATATTTTTTAAGACAAGAATATCGTTAATACTAAGATGATTCTCTTCAGCCCTCTGCAATCCCAGTGTAAACATTTTTATTGCATCAACGTGCTTGATTTTTTTTTGACTGGATATAGATTTCTTCATCGCTGGTCTCGTCGGCGTCGTCTATAACTTCATGTTCGAGATTCACCATCCTCTACGATATTTTCAGAGTTTTCAACCCATTGATTCATTTCAGCATTTGTATGAATCTCTCCATCAATTTGCATCAACATGTTTAAAATGTCTTGGTAGCCATGTTTTACTTGCTGCAATTTCTTTTGCAACTGGCAATCCTCTACGATATTTTCAGAGTTTTCAACCCATTGATTCATTTCAGCATTTGTATGAATCTCTCCATCAATTTGCATCAACATGTTTAAAATGTCTTGGTAGCCATGTTTTACTTGCTGCAATTTCTTTTGCAACTGGCTAGGGGAATGAGATCATCAGGGTCATAATCTGGTAAATTTCCTGATAAAAGTTTTTCTAAAGAGGTCGTTCTAACTTTCCATGAATTATGGAATAAACAAACTGCATCCATAAGATCAATTTGCTTAATGCATTTACCAATATCATTCCCGTCTTAAGTTGCGAAAGGATATGGGCTAAAAGACCTTTTCGGTAGTTTAGCTTTGTTAATCTGATCGCATTTTGATCCGGCCGTCAAATTATTACGATATAAATGAATTACCGCTTCGAGAAAACGCGTTAAAACAAGTTAGAACCACAAATTCGGATTACCGAATCAAACGAAATCCGGATTACAAGATACATAGCAAGGAATCCGAATTAGCGCTCTTCGGATTATCGAGTTTTTACTGTATTTTCAATTTAATAAATAATTTAATGATGTAAATAAGAGGAAATTTATCACATGGGTGGTAAAATTCTATAGTTTTCATTTTATCAAACAGCCTCTGAATGTTTTCTTCAGTGCGAAACTCGTCAAAATTTAATATAAATAATTTTTCCAGCCTGTAAATAAAATGAACAAATTTTTCCACTTTCATGATCAAAGGCAAATGATCAAAGGAAAATGGGTAAATAATTTCGAGTTATCCAGAGATTCGGATTCTTTTGCAAATTTTAGACAAATATCACATTGATGTATTTGAAGACCCTTTTTAATGATGTAGTCAAACATAATTAAAGGCATTTTGAGTTGAAAACATTTCTCAGAGGCTGTTTGATATAATGAGAACTCTAGAATTTGACCATCCATGTGAGAAATTTCCTCTTATTTACATCATTAAATGATTTATTAGATTGAAAATATTTGATGTATTAAAGTTTACAAATAAAGATTTATATAGTCGAAAAAAGTCCGATAGAACGGATAGAACCAATAGAAAGGTAACTATTTTGTCACATTTTTAATTAAATTTTGTTAAATAAATTAATTTTTTATACTATAAATATCTTTTTTTTTCCTTATAAATAAACACATTTATATCCCATTTTAAATGAGATATACAAATTACCAAAACTTGGAAATAACAGTTCAAAAGTTCAACAAAAATCCTACACGCGTTTTTAAAAAGAAACATATAACCACGCACTATGGCACTCCAGCAAGCGAAGACGACACAACAAGGGTTTCCGGACTAAACGACTGGTGTATTTACACCACTCAGTAGGCGTGTCGGGTTTGCCGAACGGTTTCCGATGCAGTCGCTTTCTTTCGCATCTGTTATAGGTAATTTGTGCTGCGGATCTCTGAAATATAATCATGAAATATAATAATAATATAATAGCTCCCGTATATAGCGTTTAACGCCTTGGGAGTAACAGCTTGCCATGCTAGAGCTGTTCGGTATACAAGGAAGGTAATATGGCTAGCACTACGCTTCAATCGCCTATTATTACCTCAGGATTGTGAATCCCAAGTACTCATTTAAGGCTGAGTCGACCTAGGTACCCAAACTATATTTATTTTTATTAAAATAAAAAAAATATTTTTATTTTAATAAAAATAGTCGGCTGATGAAATGCCGGGTGTAGGAATCGAACCCACACCTTGAGATTGGTAGACGAGAGCCTGTACCTCAACGCCATGCCACCGGGCACCTTTAAACAATAATTAATATAATTATACCTCTAATCATGAAATATAATATACATTATTTCCTTCGGCCACACACCCGCTTTACCCGACCCCTGAGAGCAACCCAAACAGTACAGCGTAATAGACTCTTAAACGGGCTTTGTATCATAAGAGATAAATAGTTATTGTTATGAGAAATTACATTAGAAATGTTCAACTGTTAAAGTCAAAGTTCGCTTGATATTGTAATACTTGCATTCACCACAAATCGTTAACGTGTAACAAATACATGTATAATAACTGAAAAATTTGACATTAAGTACCTGAGGTCTTGACATAGCAAATCTCAATGTTCTTCTTTGTTCTTCTAAAATGCTAATAACTCGTTCTTTAGCATCTTTGGTTTCTTCAGATTCCGTTAATATTTCTAACATGGATAAATCTCCACCCCTACTACAGACCTACAGAATATAAAATATAAGACGAACTTATGTGTAATGTAGATATACGTAATATTTAAAAAATGTTATATTCTTACTAAATCTATTGGATCTGTTACTGCTGAATAACTATTTGGAGGTGTTGCGAACACGGCAACCACTTCTTCCATGTAAGTTGCGTCAGGTGGTAGATCGATAAGACGATCGGAAAATATAGTAATGTTTTTGACTCCTAATTCAGTGAAGTAACATTCGTACTCTGGTTTTCTAAAACAAATATATCATCTTTGGAAATATACTATTATAGTTATTGAATGTAATAAGGCTGATAAACAACAAATAACGGCTGGGCTGAAGTTTGTGATCCGAGGCGATAGCCGAGGATCATAAGCAGCCAAGGCTGTTATTTGTTATCGGCCAAAGTTAAGGTTCTCTAGATTTTCATCATAATTGCAGATTTTAGAGCAATAAACACTACTATTTAATAAATAAATTTTATTGAACAATAACACAAGTAAGGGATAAAAATATTATAATGTCTTATACCAAAATTCATTTTTCATGATAATGAACATGGAAACTAAAAGTGCACTTGTTGTTCTTAGAAATCTGTAATCCCTCCCAGGGATTTACAGATTATATAGAAGAAGATGATGCTAATGAAGAATGGCAAATATTTGTATCCACTAAAGACACATTATTTTGGAGCTATCATGAAAAATTTGATTTGTTATTTTCATACTTTGAAAGTCCAGATTTTTCTATGTAAGTTTCTGCCACTGTTGAAGACTCCCATCCTCCTAGCTCCTTTAGCTATAGTAAATCACCACCATTCTCGGCGAGCATGGTTGCTGATGATCTACGAGATGAATGCCCTGTATAACGTTCTTGATTCTCCAAGTTCAAAAAATTTTGCAATTTTCAGGTACTGCCCTGATGGTATGTATACCGACGATTTGTTTAACACACTTGCCTTTCTTGTAACCAATGAAAAATTTTTGATTGTCAAAGTTACGAGAATACGTGTAACTGGAACGGGAAGTACAACAG